TAAAGAATAAAATGAACTAGTTACTAGCCTACGAAATCTTGAGTAAGATGTTGGTCAAGATCTTATCCGGTAAGTTGTTCCGAATCTTGCAAAAGATTCCATAAGTTAATTTTTACCCATAACAATACCGACTGTGTACTGTGTTGATTTTGTTTATAAATACAATCATCAAAATTCAACTTACAAAACGGATTGTCGTCGCTGCAACGTGTGGCACACAAAATCCTAATTTGAAATTAATCTTATAAAATACGATAAACACGAAAAGCATGATAAACAATAAACACGTGTTAATATCGTGTTGATTTTGTTTCGAATCTTGAGCACAACACAACATCACATCATATTTTTCACACTTAATATGACCACAACACAATACGAATTCAAATTTCAATTTCATCCTTTTTTTGTTTTGTATCCTGTACTTACGAATTCAAATTTCAATTTCATCCTATTTTTGTTTTGTATCCTGTACTTTTATTGGATCGTATCATGAATTGTCATCATCTTACATTTGATTATTATTTATTTCCATAAATAACGGGATTTGGAACCGTTAGCTATAGTGAACAAAGTTTTTACTTTAAAAGTAACCAAGTTAAGATATCAAAAATAAATAAATAAATAAACGCATCATTTAACTACTTAATTTATTTATTTTTGTCCATTTTTTTTAATTCGGGTTATCCATAAGGAAATGCAGCACAATAAACAAATTGCATTTATCATTCTACAATCTTTCCACAATTGTGAGGATCTTTGAAGTAATTTCCCATAAATATAAGATACAATTACAAACATGCATCAACATCATATAACAACCTCTTACATCTACATTTACATATAGATGTATAATGTTGTTGTTTTCTTGTAACAATCAGTACATAAAAAGTATATATATATTGTGGCAGCTCAACTCCTTCCAATCCTTAAAGAGGGATCAACAGTCTTACCAAAGCTTGTAGCAAAGAGCCTAGCAATCTCTAACTGCGTATGAGCAATTATCTCAGTTCTTTTCAGATCAATTTCACCTCTTTTCACCTCAGCATCCGCTCTCATTTTCTCCAACTCCCGCATTGTCTCAACTTTAGCCTGTTCTGACCTCACCATCACTTTAGCCAACCATCTTATGCTCTCCGCTACATCCCAACTTTCTCTTTCTCCTTTTCTTCGTCTTTTTCTATTATTTGTATTCTTGTGGTTTTGGCTTTTCGTCTGTATCTTTCCTTTTTCGTTGCTATAAAGTGCTGGAGTGCTACAGTCGGTTTCAATTTCCATTTTTTCAGATACTTGATTAATCTCTTTCTCGCTCATTTTAATATCCACCACATCATCTTCCTATTAAATTAAAAGGTGTAAGTAATTTGGATTGATCATGTAAAATATATATATTTTTTTAAAAAAAAAAAATGCAATTTTCATAAAAAGTGAGCAAACTTTTCTTTTTTTTAAAAAGGATGACGTGTTACTGATAAATGGCCCCATATATATGCTTTAGTAGGTTTAGGGTTTGGTCACAAACCTACTCTTAAACTAATAGATTATTTGATGACCATACAATCCAATAAGAACATGACAAGTTTCGGTTTCGTATCTACATCAACAAATTATCATTATACTTATTATATCATTTGCACTTGTTTAATGTGCAAAAGATTAATCAGATTGGTTACAGATAGATAAGAGTAATCACGAGGTGGAGGAGAAGACGGAGGGGTGTGGGCTGTGGGGTCTCATGATTAATAAAAATATTACAAAAGATAAAGAAAGGAAGAAGAGAGCAGACGATGGAATATGGATAGGACCATATTAGGTTTTAGTTTCTTTTGAGTTTTGATTTCTTGTTTAATTTTTTTTAAATAATAGATATAATAAATATAGAAAAAAAATTTTGAAAAAGAAAAAAGAATGGGTAAAAATGTCTTTAGCAAGTAGGGGTGACAATCATGTCGGGTTCGGGTTGACTGGTCATGGTTGGTCAGAATGTATCAACCCGTACACCACCCATATAACTATTCGTGTCAAGGGTTGGCAGATTGGAAACATCAACCTGGACACGAACCATCTAACCCGTTTAATTATATGGGTTCGTGGGTCAGATTCAGGTTCACGGGTTGGTGGATTGACCTATGAACCCTTATATTATTTGCCTAATCATGAGGACTGGTTTGCTTTTAGGCAAGCAACAAACATAGCTCCATAGGCGTCGATAACTTAAATCTAATATATTATTCATTAAAGTAATTATTATCTTTCAAATATGTAAAACTACTTAAAAATAAAATTTAAAAGCTCTTAACAGCTATTTAAATTTTCCTCAACAAAAAAAAAATTCCGAGTTTTTTCTTAATAAAAAAGTTAAAAGCTCCTAAAAACCATGAATAAGCTCTTTGCAAAACTCTCAATCCCCATTTTTTCAATCGAAATATGTGTAATTCACTTGTGGTTCTTGGTTTTTCCAATTTTAATTCCGGATGTATAAAATCAATTATATGAATATTTAAGTTAATTGATCCTAAAACATAAATGAATGGTATTAGTTTTTATATTTTTTAACAAAAATATAACTTATTTTATGTCTATTGGAACCTTCCATGATTTTAATACATGCCCAAAAAACACATGTTAAACGCATAAACCTACATTAAATTGTTTACTATTTAAAGCCCTATAAAAAAAACCTAATATTAAAACACAGTTTTCATCCTATTGATTGTTAAATAAAAAAGCGTTTAACAAGCACAAAAATCAAGAGTGTAGAATTTTTAATGTAATAGGTCATGTTTTTCTACACTTTTCCTATTTTTTAATTAGAAATCTAATATTTGTTCCAATATACTATGAATAAAAAATTGCATTTAATATAGAAAAAATACTTAGAAGTTTCAAATGATTAGAACATAAAATACAATATAATTTATAAAACTTTAAAAGAAATGGAAAGAACTCCACGGACCTTGTTCTCCCGATCGAGGCCATTAGAATCGATTGAATTCTGTCCAATTACTTGATGTACCGGAGTTGCAACCGGCACGGGAACCGGTAGAGCGACCGGCGGAATCGATGATTGAATCATCTGTGGCGGAGGAGGCGGAGGCGTGTGTTCAAACACCGTTAGAGGAAGTTTATTAGCAACGGGAGTCGAAGACGACGGTGGATCGCCGCCAGATGTTACAACCGGAGGACCACCGCTGCCACGCAACAACAGATCCAAACGCGGAAACAGCGGCCACGACGATACATCGGAGGTGGCGGACTCCGAACGGTACCGTTTCTTCATCGACTCGATCTTATTCTTACACTGCGTTTGTGTTTTAGGCGACTTGCTTGAATTAGCGCGTGAAGATACGTACTTTGCCACATCTTCCCAGTCATGACCCTTTAGCTTGGCTCGATTACGAAGCACCCACTTGGCTTCATAAGCCTCTAGTAGACTCGAAACCGCCCCTTCACTCCACTCGTCTCTCTTCAACCTATCTCCGCCGCTACCTCCGGCGACGGAGGCGGAGGGGAGTGGAGGCTTTCTAGGCGAGGAATCATGATCTTTATTGGTGAAGGGAGATGGGGCTTCTTGCTTATTTGGTTTATTATTATCCATGGTGATCATTCTTCCTCCCTCTCCTCATACTAGAATTGAGAAAACAGATTTTAAGCTGCTAACATGAAAGTAGGAGGTATGTGTCCTTTTGGAAATGCTAGGGGACTAAAGAAAGGGAAAAAGCCACTAGCATTTAGAAAAAATAAAGCTACTTTTTGTTAGACCACCAAATTCTACTTGTAATCAAGCATTTACTTTTGGGGTATTTTATTTCGTTTTATATACTTTTTAACGGTATCTAAATAAGTATTTTAAAAATGACTACATAAAAAATTAATAGTTTACAGGGGAATTCAATTGATTTAATCGTGTCTTTAGGGAATTTTACAAAAAGTTTTTAAGTTTTGCATCAGTTTATAATTTAGTCATAAATTAATTTTAATTTATGAAAAATGACAGGTTATTGACTATTACATTCAGTTTAATCCTTGAAAACAGTAACCCTTATATTAGCCGGTTATCCCAACTGACTCGTCCTCATTACCCTCCACTAACCTCCCGTCACCCACCTCTCTATAAAAAAACTTGTTCTTACCCTCCATCGAAGCAAAACTCTACCAAATGGCATCTTCAAGCTCAATAGGAAGCACGAGCAATATTCGATCACAAAGGCAAGCATTAAGAGCAACATACTTTTATGAAGACCTCGTTGGTAAGTGGACATCATGGAGGCCAACAAACCGTGGCAGGAGGTTCATCAGTTGCCCTAATTTCCGGGTAAGTATCCCTTAATCCTCTTTAATTACATCTCAAATCTCTTCTAATTAGATTTTATTTCCTATATAACAGGATGAGGAAAAAGATTGCAAGTATTTTGCTTGGGTCGATCCCCCAATACCAAACAACTGGTACAGAAACATGTTGATGGATTTTCACAACAATGACATTCAAGTACACAATGATTTCGTGGAATAATTTGTGGAAGAAGCTATGGATTTTCACAACAATGACATTCAAGAGGTTCATGTACAAGGTGAAAGTGAAAAATGGAAGATTGGGTTTTTTTGTGTTTGTTGGTGATTGTGTGGATTATGCTGAAGTAATTTTAAGTTGTTGTAAAACTTTTGGCAATGTATGTAATCTTGATTACTTAAATGACAGTTGGATGTAAGTTGTATGTTGTTGAATGAAAAATGGTTTTGTGGATACCTATTGTTTGAGCAATGTACAATTGTAAGTGTATGATGTGAGCAAATGAAGGATGTTTTTCAACATAACATAATGACCAAAATGGATGTAACTTATACATCAACAAACCATACCAAAATCAGCCAAAGTGTTAACAATGCAACCATATTTTATATTGTTTACAAAAGAAATGGCATATTAACAAATTTACCAAAAATGACTTCCTAACAAATTTGCCCAAATAGCCTATATAACTACTTAAATCCTAACCAATCTAATCCAAAGTAAGAGGTTTTTCTGGATTCATTCCTATTCCTTTCTTGTCCACCATAATTTTCTTCAACATGTTTTCAGTGATCCATTTAGAAGGTTTTCCTTTTCTAACCCTAACTTGAGTATCATGAACTCCCTTTTCATCATCATCAGCTCCATCTTCATCATTGTCCTCCTGCGATTCTTCAACTTCATCTTCATAGTCACTCTCCTCCTTATTTTTTTCATTGTCCTTCTGTGTTTCTGGTACATATTCACTCTCAAAAGGCACATCCTTGCATGGGAAAAAAATACAAGTTAGTTATCTTATTGAAAAATAAAATTCACTCTCAATGTTATAAGATATACCTTTGCAACTTGTTTGGATTGATGAACCAAGGCATCAAATCCTTTAAGTTGTGATTAGGTGATATTAAGACACAAAAGGATCTCTGTTTCATTGTATTTTGACTCTCCAAGGTAGCTCAAATCATGTAGTATTTGATCCAGATCATCCATACCAAGACCATCATCTTTAACATCTGCTTCCTATGTTTCTGGTACATGTTCACTTTCAACAGTAGGTGTTGTTTAGGTAACAAGTTGACTCTCAACATTAGGTATTGTTCGGCTGACAAATTGAGTCTCAGTCCCAAGTTCTTTTTTGCTAGAACTTTCACCTTCTTCATAAACAGTGGTAGACCCTTCTCCGACACCTTTTCCACCACTTCTACCACCTCTTACACCCCTTCTTCCACCACTTCTACTTCCCCCTTTTGATCCTATCCCACCTCTTGTGCAATTGGTCAATTTTGGATTCAACCTTATCCTTCCAATTTTCTTCTTATGTCACAACTAGGAATTCTATACCATGTAACCACAACAATGATAACATTTGTGAACCAAAAATGTGAAAGCATGTATGATGCTTATTCAATAACAACAAAAATTTCCATCAAACACCCTATACAAACTTTCAAATAGTCAACGAAAGATTGGAAACCCTATAAATCCTTGTTTAAGTCCATTATGGACTAGAATTTCCTTATTGGGCCTAATGGGCCAATAAGCTTCCAATTTGACTATTTTGGGCTTAGAACTTTTAAATGGGCTCTAATTGGACTCACTTCCATTTATTTAATATTTTGGGCCATATTGGGCCTAGAATGAAATAAAATACCCTAATGGACCTTATTAGGCCATTACTAACCTAATTAGTTTTAATGGGCTATGAGACCCATTCTTTCATTCTAATTGGGCCATAAACACCTCTAAGGGCCCAATGGGCCGAAAACCATCAAAATGGGCCTCCTATTATTGGAACCAATCATTAAAGGCCTACTCCATCTCTCTTCTCTCTCTTTCTCGGCCCAAGAGGAAAACAAAAAAAAAAGAATAATAAGGGTTGACTTTTATGTGTCACCTTTCTAATATACACCAAATAAACATGCACAGTCCAACATACATCCAAGACCAATCTCATGTTCCCATGCACTCATCTCTCTCTTCCCCTCGCTCCTTTTATTTCGGCCGAGACCATCACACACACACACACCCACACTCTTCCAAATTCTCTCAAACACTCACAAGAACACTCTACATTTCCTCTCTAATTTTTAAGAATTTTCACATCTTCAAGAAGAGTTTCATCATCAATTCTTGAAGCTTCTTAAGTTCGAAATCAATCCAATAAAGCTTGCTAGGGCCAAAAATAGCATCAAACTTCTTTCATTTCTTCTTCAAAACCGAGATCCACAAGAAAATATGAGTTCATACCCCTCTATTTTCGGTTTTCATATGTTTTATGGGAGAGAATACAAGTAAATGTGTATATCTATGTGTATGTGTATGTTATGTGTGATTTCATGTGTTTATGTGGTAAATGTGTAACAAAAAGAATAGAAATCCGAGATCTATGGCTCTAAGAGGAAGATAAACATGATCTAAGAAGTATTACACTAAAACAAGTCAAGAAAAATTACCCTCTAAGATTAAAATATACATTTTGCAACATAAAACCCATTTTTAGGCTAAAATTGTCAAACAAACAAAAGTTGGGTTGAAAAATTGCTATTCACGGTTTTCTCAAGGATTAAAAGAGTCAAAACAGTAAAAATAAGTGTTTTTATGAATATCATACTCTTTTAAGGGCTAGAAGTGTAAATTGTAGCTTAATGGGCCAAATTTGGGCTTTTCGGCCCATTAAGCCATAACTTGCGAAAATTACTACTTTCAAGGGATTGAAATGACAAACTTCTCAAAACAGGGGGAAAAAGGGTGAATAAAACTAATTCAGAGGTTAAAATGATGTATTTTCCAAATAAGGATAAAAAATGTAAACTTTTTGGATTTTGGGCCAAAATTGTAAAAGTTGCAAAAAGTTTGGGCTTTAACCGAAAAACATTTTCTTGGAAGGGTTGAAACTGATAAAAGTAAATTTTAAGCTAAAATCATCACTTAAACAAAGTCTATGGCTCAAAAATGACAAGAAAATGGTTTTATGGCCTAAAATGTCTTTTTTATATATAAGGGACCAAAATTATCATTTTTATTAAAGAATGACTGAAAAGGTCAAACTAATATTTTGAGTCAATTATTTTATTATTAAGATATTTGGGTAAAAATACCAAACCACAACTTATGAAAAACGAAAATATGAATATACATAAATTTCCAAATATCGTTATAAACGACCGACCGGTCTCGTACCGATACAAATTTAACAATTGTTCAATTAAACATTCCGACAACTATCCTATACCTAAATGTAACATACACGTTTTGAAATCGTGTTTTGCAATGGATAATATTGTGAAATATTATGTGAATTTGAATGTTGAGTTCTAACATATGGTTTTTATTAGAAATGAAGTAAAACTATGTTTAGAATCATCCTGAAAATATTGGAAGTCTTATGAAATTCCAATCAAATGTCAAATGGTAAAATTTAACGAAAATATAAAATTTGGAATAAGTAAAATTTTATTATTTAAAGTTGTAGATAATCTCGTAAGAAGCATTTAAGCTAAAACCTCGTCGAAATCCGAGTTATAACGAAAAGGTTATGACCAATCGAAGATCCGCGACAGAACCGGCATGGTGCCGAATGACGTAAAGAGTGAGTTTTTGATAAACTACTTGTAGCCTTAGTGATCTAAATGAAAGTCATAGTAGTCGTTAAACCGAGAAGTTCGATAAAAAGAACGCCAAAATCTGACTTCGTATGAGGAAGTTATGATTTTTCTAAGTTTTGGAATAGCAGTAAACAGCTAAAAACTCGAATTTTAGATCGAGCGATGTTTAGCCAATACAACCTAAACGAGAATCTAAGGTCTCGTCATTTGTAGTACAACGATAAAACGTCTGACGAAAACGGATGTCAGATGAAGAAGTTATGAATTTTTAACGAATTTTTCTGTCTCGGTCTATTAAAAATAATAATATTAAAAATAAATTCAAAATTAGGCGACGAAGTCTAAATGAAAGTTGTATATTATATTTCCGCTTACGCGTGCATATAAAGAACGTCAAAAACGGAGCCTGTATGCGAAAGTTATGGATTTTAGAATATTTTGGCTCGTTTTTCGAGGAATCTCGCATGGATAAGCATCACCGGAACTGGCCAAATCACTCGTCCGTATGCGCGCCATGTATGCGAGCTGGAGACTCAGCCGATGACGCGCCTCGCACGAAGCAACTACGTCACCGAGACGTGCCACGTCCGAGGTGCGACGCGTGTCACGTCCGAGCCTCGCTGCCTCGCCACCTGCCCTCCGCATGCGAGCCTCGTCACCCCCTCGATCCGAGCCTCGCAGATACTACGTAGAGTCTTCTCAGGCCTCGGATCCGAACCCTCTCACCCTATAAATAGGGAGGTTGCGAACCTTCCTGAGTAATTTTAGAAAATTGGCAATTTTGATGTAACGACCCAATTTTCATGACCAAAATTTCATTTTTGATTAAGTGATTTGCACAACATTTGCAACAAAAAATCAACCGACCATATGTAACGCCCGTAGATTCGGGCTAGTCAATTAGAGACGTTAAGCGTCAAAAATGACTTTTTGATGGAAGATTCTTTTGAAGGAATAATCTTAATTAAGTTATAGTATATGTTACAATGTTTCCGTGCATATAAAGAACGCCGAAATCCGAGTTATAACGAAGAAGTTATGACATGTCGAAGTTTCGCGACAGAACTGGCACGACACAACGCGACGTAAAAAGTGAATTTACCTTAGAGCGATATTTAGCCTTAGCAATCTAAATGAAAGTCGTAGAATATGTTAAACCATGAGCGTGCATAAAAAGAACGCCCAAATCTGACTTCGTATGAGAAAGTTATGATTTTTCGAAGTTTCGACTTAGTGGTATGCAGCCCGAATGCTCGATTTGAGACCGAGCGGTTTTTAGCCAAAACAATCTAAATGAGAATTGAAGATCTCATTAATTGTAGTAAAACGATAAAAAGATAGGCGAAAACGGACGTCGGATGAAGAAGTTATGATTTTATAACGGAGTTTTCCTGTCATGGCCTACTAAAAATAAATAATAAAAATAAAGTCAAAATTAGCCGACAGAGTCTAAACGAAAGTTGTATAGCGTAGTCTCACCTTCGCGTGGATATAAAAAACGTCGAAAACGGAGTTCGTATGAAGAAGATATGAATTTTCGAAGTTTATTAAATAATTTGTATTTAAATTTAATCTTTAATTCCGGCCTTATCCGAAGGGGAGTCACCGGGCTCATTCGGAGTACGCCCCGCGTACAGCGAAGAGTGTCGACACTCGCACTCGAGGACTTCGGATGACGAACGCCATGACGAACTCGGAGCAGTACTCCCTGCATACGGCGAGGCCTCAGCCTCCTATAAATAGGATGCGAGGGCAGCCGGCTTCTTTGCTATTTTTCTCCATTCTCTCTCCCGCTTTGCCTTGATTTGCATGCCAGAAGTACCCCGAAGCCCCGGTAATATTCCCGAGTCCCGAAGCAAGTCCCGAGATCCCGAAGATCCCGAAAAGTGCGGTTTCCGAGCCGAAGCGCTGCCCGCGAGAAGTTCGATTTTTGTAGAGATCTTCGAGATCTGCTGAGGATTACTACTTTTGCAAGTCGTAGTGCTGTCCGATCATCTTCTGATCAGGTGAGTGTATACTACCTTTCATAAACGCAATAATAATACATGTATGGTTTGAGTGTATTAAGTATATTGTTGTTTATATGTGTGAGTGTGTTGTTACTTTCTCTTAACGTATAATTATGAAGTATTTTATACGAGATACGTGTTATGTGTATATTTTGTTGTTATATGCGTGAATGTATATTCACTTTCTTCTATCTCATAGATATGATTTATTCTCTATGAAATATGTGTTATGTGTATGTGTGTCATCTGTTGTTTTGGAATATGTATTGAACGAGAATGTTATGCAGGTTTTAAACTATGTATAAAAATATATATTTTATCTACTAATATGTTGGGTAGAACATGGGTAGATAGTTGGTGTGTAATAAATAGATGAGAGGCGTCGATGTCATTGTAATCTAGTCATCTAGCGAAATTTAGATGACGACCACGGACTTTTCTAGACAGTCCAGTGGAACGCTAGCAGGCTCATAACCTGTAGGTGTTAATGAACTTGGGTGTTCATTCGTTGTATTCCATCCCCCTCATGGTTGCCTTATTTGACTT